TACAGAAAAATATGTAAGCCAGCTCCCTGCAGTAGAATTAGGAGGGCAGAAAGAGATAACAGTGGCCAGGTTTCCTGTACCGTGTGTGATCCTAGGCCAGTTACTCCCTCTCTGACCCTTTCCTACCCAGGAAACACCCTGCCCTCCCCACCCCATCCCCATCTGGAACTGGCTTTTCCCTCATCACCCAGCCCACTAAGCCACGGGCAGCACAGAGCTACTGATTTAAGGAACAGAGAAGGAAAACACACTTGTCACATGCCTGGGCTTTGTTCCCTGACCCACACATTTCCCTCAAAGGCAAAGGGACCTTTGAGGGGCGCTCAGATTTGTGCCCAAAGCATAGCTTAAGCCCGGAGACGTGCTGGAGCATTTTCACCTACAGTGTGCTGCTCCAGGAAGGGCCACCCAGGTGAGAGGGGCAAGCAGAGGAAACGGGTGGCGGGGGGGAGGTCCCAGGCACTGCCCAGGGGCCAGAGTGGGCCTCAGGGGCCCAGGAGCCCTGACGTCTATCCAGTGTGTGTGTGTGTGTGTGAGTGTGTGTGTGTATGTGTGTTTTCAAGCCTGCATAGGGCAGTTTCCTCTCTCCTCTCTCTCTCTGAAGATTGAATCAAGGACCTTGCACTGAGCTACATCCTCGGGCCTTTTTGTTCGTTTTTTACGTTAGAGACAAGTCTAAGTCACTAAGTTGCCTAGGATGCACTTGAATTTGCAGTCCCCCTGCCTCTGCCTTCCAGAGTGCTGGGATTACAGCCATGTGCCACCACACCTGGATACAGCCATGATTTTAAATCATGTTTTCCAAGGAATCCATCACCTCCAAAAGGTTAAATCCCACTGGTCTAGGGTGCAGCCTTTTTTTTTTTTCTTTTTTTTTTCAAACATTGAAATTGAGGATCGGAGCGGTTGCATAACTTTCCCCAGGTGACACAGCTAACCTGCTTGGGATAGAGCCAGAACCTGGACTCGCCAGGCTGCGGGGCTGGGAGAGTAAGACAAGAGATGCAGGTGAAAGGCCTCCCTGGTCCCCTCCGGCCATAGCCAGAGCTTGGCTTGGATGGGGCTACAGGCCAGCATGAGGCCTTTCCCCTGTGCCTGGCTCCCTCCCTGCCTGAGGGTGGAGCTGGGCCTGTGTCCTCTGCCCATCCCTGAGCAGAGGCCAGTGTGCAGCTGAAGAAGCTTCCCTCAGCGTCCCCTCCTCCTGGACACCTGCTCTTCCTGTGGGTTCCCAGTTTTGCCTGTTGCCGGCTCCCCCGCCCCAGGTGCCTGTTCCCAAGCCATGGAGGCACCTTCGCCTCCTGGCCTCCTCTCACCCCAGCTCTACTCCACCAGCAAATCCAGTCTGACATTCTTGCCGTCATGGTAGATGCAGAATCTGAGCATTCTTGGACCCCCTCTCTGCCTGCCGGTCCCCCAAGTCCCGCCTGACCGGGACTCACCTTCCCTTCCACTTGATCTCCACCCAGCAGCCCGAGGGGACCTTAAAGACTTGAGTCACCAGGACCCCCACTCAAGACTGTCGTCCAACTCCCATCCGTTCTTAATGAACAGCCGACTCTTGCCTTCTGGCCGGCCCACCGCGCTCCCCGCCCTCGTGCCTCTCCATCACATGGGCCCCATTGCTTCCTGCCATGCGCCACGCACACACTCACTGCAGGACCTTTGCTCCTGCTCCTCTGTCTTCCTGGAATTTTCTCCCCCGAACATCCACATGGCTCTGCCTCACCTTTCCGGCCCTTGGTTCAAAGTTCAGCTTCTCAGAAGGTTTTTCATGACCATCCCTGGTCACCTGACACCTGTGTTCAATGCTTCGTCTCTGTCTAAGGCGCTGACTTACCCATGTCCAGCTAAGGTATTATTCTGTCCTTACCGTCTCTCTTTTGCAGTGGGGTGGGGGTGGGGGTGTTTTCTTCACTGTTGAATACCCAGCACCTAGATTAACTCGTGCGACATAGTAGATGCTTAATAAATACTTGCTGGATGGACGAGTGAGTGGACAGATGCGTGTGTGAATAGACAAATGGGCAGAGGGACAGATGGGCGGTTGTGCGGGCCATATTATTGCATCTCGTCTGTCTTGCCCACAGAGCTCTAAGCTCCTCTACAAAGGGGACCATGTCATATTCACCACTAGATCCTCAGGGCAGAGGGTAAGGGATGACTGGGCTGAGTGCATCGAAGTTGAGTAAATGAATGACAAACACGTTACAGCTGAGGACAGGAAGTGGGTCGGGGGCTTAGCATGACATATCAAGTTCTAGCAGCCACCTTTAAACTCCTCAACCCCAGTTCTCCTCCTCAGCTTCTTCTGGGGCTGACTTGGTTCTTCTGGGACCATTCAATCCCTGTCCAGAGCTTTTGGGAGACTTAACTGGGATTTGGACTTTCAACTCCGCCTTAAAATCACTTTGGGTTTAGGACTGAAGGTCCGGAGCTTGAGTCCCTAAGTTGGAGTCCCAGCTCCGTAATCACTTTCTGAGTCTCACTTTTGTCACCTCTACAGTGGGACTGACCACCCACCTCATCGGGTGGCCGTGAGGTCCACATGAAGTGAGCCACTCCAAGTGTTTAGAAGGGAGCTTGGTGCACGTTCAAGAAATAGCGACTACTTCGCCTTGCAAGCGGAAGGTCCTGAGTTCAATCCCCGGTACCAAAAAAATAAAAAGAACAACAAAAAGAAATATCAACTATTTTTTTAAAAAACTGAAATGTGGGCCAGGGATTTAGCTCAGTGGGTGCTGCCTCCTGCCTCACATGCACAAGGTCCTGAGTTTAATACCCGGTCCAAAAAAACAAAGTTAAATGTGATCTAGGCATGGAGGCACATCTGGGGCTGAGGCAGGAAGATCACAAACTTGAATCCATCCTGGGGCAACTTGGCAACTACTTAGAGAGATCCTGTCTCAAATTTTTTAAAAAAATCAACAAAGGGCTAGGAATGTAGCTCGGTGCAAAGATCCTAGATTCAAACTCCAGTACTGAAAAAAAGAAAAAGAAGAAGAAGAGGGGAGGAGGGAAAAGGGAGGAAGAGGAGGAAGAGGAAGAAGAAAAAGAGAAAGAAGACGAAGAAGCAAGGAGAAAAGTATTCCATCCATTTCGAGCTTCCCTGGGTGGGTTCCAGCTAACTGGAGTCTGGCCAGATACGGTTTCAGGTTATAACGCCTCATTTGGGTTTCTGGGCAGCTGTTTGATCGGCATGATTTTCCCAGGTGACATTGAGCATTATCTGGAGAACAGAATTCTTTCCAAGGTCAGAAACACCCAAAGAGCCGCTGGTGCAGACGGAAAGGCAAAATCACAGGTCTCGGTGGACTCAGCCCCCACCCAGCTTCCTGGCTGGAGTTACACCCCTGGGACCCTGCCAACCACAGGAGAGGCTGATTTTGGGGTTGGGGGAGGCTCGCCTTCACCTAAGGGACAAAAATCTCCCTTCTTGGCAAGCAGCCAGGCAAGTTTTTCTAATTTCAGAGCAAAAAGCTCAAGCAACATGACCCTGCCTGGGCTTATCTGTCCCTCCCCCAGCAACATCCAGGCATTTTACCCCTTCCAGTGATGACAGCAGAGCAACCTCGGCCTCCAGTTTCCAAAGACCTGAGGTGTCCCCATGTCAGGGAAGGGGAGATCTGGGCCTCTCTGTTGCTTTCTACCACATCCTCCCACTCAATGAACACAACTTACCTGGTCCGAGATTTATGATCTTTTTATACAGGTGGAGAAGCTGAGGCCTAGAGCAGTCAGTTAACTTGCCCTGGGTCCCACAGCTGGGAAATGGTAGAGTGGCTCATCAGCCTCCAAACCCAGGATCCCAGCCATGTTGAAAGTGTTGTCTGGGCTCTGATCGCCAAAGTGAAGCCCAAGGTCCTAAGCAATGGCCCTGGAAAGTCTAAGTCAGTGCCCTTGAGAACATTGGCTCTTCTGGGTTGCCCTCTTGCCGTCAGGTGCAGGGTGAGCTACTGGCCAGCCTTCAGGCTTAGCTGAGTCATCTGAACACCTCTATCATAATTTGGAAAGGACTTGGCTTTAAACCAGTGGCATGCCTGGTGTGGTATGACTTGTCCTCTACCACCGTTCGTGGGTTGGAAACTTACTCCCCAACTGCTTCTGCTGGTGGTTTCTAGAAGTGAGAGTTTGGAAGATTATTAGGTGTAAATGAAGTCATGAGCACTGGGCTCCCATGATGCACAAATGGCTTCATGGGAAGAAGAAGAGAGACCACAGCTGACATGCTTACTCCATCTCACCAGGTGATAAGTCTATGCCACGCGAGGCCTCACCCGATGCCAAGCAGACCCTGGTTCTGGGCTCTGAGACTTCCCACCTCCAGAAGCACGAGGCAAACACTTCTATCCTGTATAAGTCACCCAACCTTGGGTATTCCATTACAGACTAAGACAATGCAAAACAAAAGCAAAATGAAACAAATACAGTGGCAGCCCAGTGACATTCACACATGCTTGGCAGGCTCTTGCTATAGACTGAAATTCTAATGTCCCAGGTGATGGTAGTAAGGTACGGGGCCTTTGGGGTCTGCCTGTAGGAAGCTCCACTGAAGACAGATAAGAGATTAAGTACAGCAACATAAAACAATCCAGAAATCATGATGCTTAGAGCCCATGGTGGGAAGCAGAACGCAGTACACAAAATAATATCGTTTACATCAAGGAAAAATGAACGCCTACACAGTAAACCAGTTTTACAAAAAATACTTCAAGACACAATGATTTTATATATATATATATATATATATATATATATCTCAATCACACTGGCCATAGTAGCTGTAATCCCAGCTACTTGGGAGGCTAAGACAGGAGGGTCACAAGTTTGAATGACACCATCTTTAAAAAAACTTTTGGCAAAGGCCCAGGATCTAATGTGGCAGAAATAAAGCAAAAACAGGGCCCAGGATTTAGCTCAGTGGTTCCACTGCCTGCCTCGCAAGCACAAAGACCCAAGTTCAATCCCTGGTACCAAAAAAACAAAAAACAAAAACAAACCAATGCTGCACATCAAACAATTAACAATGGTTACTCCCTGGAAGGAGATAGCTAATGGGTAGAGTGGCCTCTGAAAACCCAGCATGCGTGTGTGGACAGAAGCAGCCTTTCTGCCCAGGGCAGGGTTGCTGGCAGAGAAGGAAGGAATAGATGAACAAAGCAATGAATCAATGAATGACCATGAGGCCCCCGCAGACCACAGACGATGCGCAGTGAGGAGGAGCTGGGGTGGTCAAGGGACCGTCCGAGCGTGGACACTGCCCCTGGGACCTGGAGGCTCATCTTCCAGAGGTGCCGGCCCCCGGCCGTGCTGTAGCTGTCGGCTCCTCCTACGGCCTCGCCAGGCAGAAGGGGGCTGATGCCCAGGGTCTGACCCTGGCTGGGGACACCTTGTCCTGCTTTCTCCACCACTCACCTTGCCCTTGACCCCCAGGTCCCGGCACCCTCATGGTGAGCGGCACGAGGGTAGCCCTGGGGCTCTCCCTGACCTGCCTCTTGGCCCTCAGCCTTGTCTCCCCTGCCTGGTTCCAGACACCCACCTTCTCCTTCGACGCGCTCACCTACTGCTCCCAGCCTCTGGTTGACAGCTGGAATCAGAGCTGCACGACCTTCAGTTCCCTGGAGGACGTACCTGACACTGCCTGGAGGGTGAGACCTGTGCCCATAGAGCCGCTGGTCCTCAGGGAAAGAGGCTGGCCTCCGGGGGGTGGGATCTGAGGGTCCTTTCCTGCCCCTCAGTGTCCCAGCATCTATGGGCACACCTTCAATCTCCCTACAACTGAGCACACGGGCTTTGGAACACCCATGGCACTTTGCAAAAATGCCAAGTTCCAACTGGACCTCTGTCTCTGCAGATGTGTATTTGTTTTACTTAGCAAACACCCAGATGATTCCAAAGGTAGCGGCCAGCCCAGGTAGCACCTTTGTGAGGATTAAGAAAAAGCATCTCTTCTTCCAGACAACACACTGCCATCTGCTGGAGAATCTCTGTAACTAATGTGCAAATCTACGACGACCCCAACTGCTTCTGGAGTTGCACAATGTGCAACCTGCACTTGCCTCCCTGGCCACCTGCAAGCAGGGCTGTTTGAAAATGAAAGCTAAAGTGCTATAATCCCTATTACAATGCAAATTAGTAAAACCAACAAATGGGGAGGCCAACAATTGATACCAAGTCCAGCGCCTCTGAGGAAGATCACACAGCTTTCAAAGCCCATCACAAAGGAGATGTCACAGCACCGCCGGCTCTCCTGATGCTGGGGACACGTGGCGGGCACTTAGTGGAGGTGTGCACAGTGCTCAGCCATCTGGATCTGGCCCTAGCATTTACTGCTGTGCATCCTGAGGCCAACGACTCCAGTGCTTCTGGGACTCTGCCGCAGGCAGCCCGTCCTCCCCTCATGTCCCCAGCACGTCTCCGCTGTGACACTCCTGTGGGGCTGGCTCCTGTTAGCCTCCAGCACAATCCTCCTCCCGTCCTGGGTCCCAGGCCCCAAAGGGCTGTGCCCGAGGAGGGGGATGCAGGCAGCAGCAGGTAAGTGCTCTGGACACGCTTGTGGAGTGGATGAGTGAGTGAGGCCGAGTGGAGTCTGGTCTCGACACAGATGAGTGCAGGGCTGCAGAGTATTCTTGACACAGAAGGCAGGGGAAGAGAGGATGGCACCCAGTCCTGCTTATCTGTATCCCTTTGTGTCTCATCCATCCAACTTACTTTGTGCAGTCTTTACTGGGCTGCCCTATACAGTTGGGTTGGTTGTACACTGCATGAGCACACCCAGCCAAGAGCTGAGAAGATGCCGAATAGAGCCTGTGCTCCATTTTCCCCCACGGCTGGGAAGGGTCACTTTTCTCCAATGTACACACCACCTCTACAGGCGCCAGCCCAAGCTCGGACTGCAACCCTCCTGCCATGAAATGACCACCTCTCACCCCTAGCCCTCCCAGGGCACCCCGCCCCCTCCCCTAGTGTGTGTGCCTCCTGCCTGACAAATGGGTCCCACTGAAATGAAATCAGATCACTGGGCCAAAGGGCTTCTACACCTTCCACGGCACGTAGTGAGATCCACCCTCCTTACTGGGCCTCTGAGGTTCTGTGACCCTGCCCCGCCTTCTCCAGCCTCATCCCAGCCCCCTGTTGGGCTGGGTGTGCTCCCCACATACCCTGGGCTCCAGGGCCTGCTGCAGAAAGGCTCCGTGAGGGCAGGCGTCACTGCCTCAGTCCCCTCGAGGCCCGCTCTTCCACACCTCAGGGCACCTGCTCACTCCAAGACAGCACATCTGCCTCTCCCCACCGCCAGGCCAGCTCCGTGGGTGTGGCCACACGGCCAGCTGCCCCACAGCTGCTGCACCACCCACCTGGGTGCTGCACAGGTGCCCCTGGGTGTCTGTCTAGTCACCGAAGACACAGCCCTTCCTTGTAACTGGCTCCTGGTGCCTATGGCAGGGGTGGAGCATCCAGTTTTTACAATCTGTCTTAGTCTGTTTTGCGTTACCGTACTGAAAAGGCTGGGGCTGGTTATAAAGAAAAGAGGTCTACTTACCTCATGGCTCTGGACGTCCAGGTGAAGGGGCTGCCTCTGGTTCGGATTGGTTTTGCAGTCCTGGGTTTGAACCCATGGCCTTCACGCTGAGCTACATCCCCAGACATCTCACATATGTAATTTTTCAAATTTTGAGGCAGGGTCTTGCTAACTTGCTGAACTACTCAGCAATCGCCAAGTTCAATGGGCTTGAACCTGTGATCCTCCTGCCTCAGCCTCTGAACAGTGCTGGGATTACAAACACAGGCCAGCCCACCCCCAGAACCCCACACAAGGTATCAGTGAACAGCAACATGGGAATACTTCAACCAGGTTTTAACATGGTCAATGTCATGTGAATGAATGTGTCTTCACAATTGTAAGGGGACCAGTCAGTGGGATTCCATACATTTCCAGTATTATGCAGTCGTCACCACCCTCCACACAACTCTTTCGACTTGTAACCCTGAACCACTGTACCTCGGAAACGGTAACTCCCCATTCTTTTCTTCCCTTGACCCCTGGCGACCACCATTCTCCTGTCACTGTGGGTGTGACGACTACTTCGGCCGCGTGGAATCATGCTTTCGAAAGCTCGTATAACCAGGGCACTTCAGGGAGCATAAGGTCCTCCGGCCTCCTCCAGGTTACCACACGTGTCTGAACTGCCTTATTTTCCCAAAGCTGCATGTAGATCTCAAAACAACTGGCGACCTCCTATACACACTTTTGTCAACTTGAAAATAATGAACTAGAACTCCCCACTGAACGTCGGCACCACATTTTCCTCATCTGGTCATCTGTTGCTGAATGTCTGGGTTGCCTCCATGTTTTAGCCACGTGAAGATTGCTGGTTGATCTTGGGTGAGCCTGATTTTAATTCTTTTGGGTGTATACCCAGAAAGGGAATGGCTATGTCACATCGCAATGGTTTTTCTTTTGAGGAACTATCATATTTTTCCACAGTAGCTGCATTTTATATAACTACCAATCATGCACAAGGGCTCTGATCTCTCCCCATCCTTGGCAATACCTTTTTGTTGTGGTGGCAGCTGACAGCAGTCATTCAACTAATAGGTGTGGGTGGTATCTCATTATAGTTTTTATTTTTTGGTACCAGGGATCAAATTCAGGCCCTTGCACTTGCGAGGCAGGCAGTGGAACCACTGGGCCAAATCCCCAGCCCTCATTATAGTTTTGATTTTCATTTCTCTAGTAACTAGGGATGTACCTCTTAATGTTTCTTTCTTCTTGGTCCTGGAGGATCAAACCTAGGGCTTTCGCACTGAGCTACATCTCCGGTCTTTTTAAACATTTTTTGTATGAGAACTGCCCAGGGTAGGCTTAAACTTGTGACCCTCCTGTGATGTAAGCCACCACACCCGGCCACCTCTAGCAGTGGCGATGACTCGTGCACGGATGGGTGGATGGTGGGTTGGTGAGGACACGAATGGCTGGGTGGACACACTAATGGAATGACGGACACACCCATGGAAGGGCACATGGACAGTAGGTGGATGAAGAGAGAACGGACAGACTGCAGTATGGCTAGTGCAGGACAGGAATGGATGGATGGGTGGGCTCAGGACGGAGGCCTTACGTGTGCAGATGGAGCCGTGGGTAGATGGGTGGATGCATAGGCGAGTAGGGCAATGAAAAGAACGAGCTGATTAGGAGATGGTTTCGCGGAAGGATGAGTGTGTGGAGGGCGGACAGCGGGGTGGATGGGTCCTGAGATGAGACCAGCCTGGTGACCCCGACGGCACCTGACCTCTCTCTCAATCTCCAGCGCCGTCACCACTGTGGGCCTTCTGGTTTTCCCAGGTAGCCTGGCCTCCCCATTCACCAAAGAAGCCTGCAAGTGCTCCTCCATGTACCATGGCGGGAAGTGCAGCTCGGCTGGGGCTACGTGACTGCCACCCTCAACACCACCCTGGTCGGGCTCCCGACCATCACTGGATGGCTCTGCACAACCAAGGTCCAGGGGAGAGCCATCGTCTTCTCCAGTGACACAGAGAGACTCATTCTCATGCCAGAAACCATCCAATACAAACCTCCCGGGAAGGAAGGATCAAAAGAGCCCATTGCGAAGAAACCATCACACATAGACATATGCAGCAGGGTAGACTGGAGCCTTGGTAGCCCTTCTTCACCCAGTTTGGAATATATACCTGGCTACAAAGTGTCACCTAGTCTCTTCTACACCCAAACTTGGCCTGAATGCAACCCCACCCGGAAGTAGTTAAAATTACCTTTAACAGTCCGTCCCTTTAGAAGAAACAGTTACAGGTGGCTATCAGAAGAGCAGTTTTGGCCATCAGCTGTGGTTACCAAACAACACTGGCTAACAAAGTAACAATGAAAAGCCTGTAGAGCTGGGTGTTTTAATCAGATAAACCATCACCCTAGGGCCCCTCTTAAAAACTGTTTGCTTTCACAGGTGCAGAGGTGTTTATTCCTTCTGATTCTTACTGAAGAGATGCTATTTGACCTATAAAAATTATGACTAGTCTGTAGTTACAAACCTAAAAACTGTAAAAGGGTTACTGTAATTCAATTCGGCCAAATACATCTGAATGCTGTGACTTCTGTGTGCCCATCTGCTCAATTTCTGACTGGTTGCAACATCTACAGCCATTTTGAGGTCAACAACTTTTTGTTCTTTATCCCTATTTTGATTTTTAAAGTATCTACACCTACAACTTAAGTTGGCTAATAGATAAGGGTCTTCCAACCAAGCTGCCAGTTGATCAAAATGATGTCAAGACTGGTTTTACAAATGCAAGGCATATTGTTGTTGTCTCTGTACAGTAACGTGGGAGTCACTGGTCGAAGATAACGTGCTAATTGTTATGATCTGGTTCTCACAGGTCATCTGACAATTTTGTTAAGATAATTAAATGGGGATCCCATAGTCTTGGGGAGACTGCTGGATGAGACTCTCCTTGATGAGAAAAGGAGCAGCTGCCTGCACACATGTATTCCAGTCTCTATTCACAAAAGGGACCTCAAGAATTTTCCATAGCCTTATGGGAGACATACACCCCAAAACACTGTTAAACACACACTGGCTATCATCAAAAGATTAAGTTTTCTGTGGGTAAAATAGTAAGGTTTTCTTAGTAAAAGATGCTCTTGGCACAAAACTGCCTCACCCTCCCCACCGCTGGGATCAGCACATCTGACTTCTAGGAAGTCGGGGATACGATTTCTCCTACATCGCTACCTCACATACTGAATCAATTGTCTGAGCTTGGGACCACAGACACTGGTCGTGCAGCTAATGTGCATTAACCTGGAGGTTTCTGGTTAAGAAAGAAAATGACACTGCTTCTTCCTAGGCAACATCTCCTCCCTCCCCGGGGGTTCTGGGACCTCAGGCCTGGACGGAAGGGAGGGAGGAAGAGGAAGCAAGCTGGCCTAGCACTGCAGGAAGGTTAGGGCCCCAAACCCTGCACAAGAACTTCTCCAAGGCCCCTGACCTCCTCCAACCAGAGGGATCATTCTAGATGAAAAGAAAATGGGATCATGGTTTCACAGTGGAAGGGGGAGAAGGTAGGAGGCCTTCGCACTGCAGTCTTGGTCCGCAGAAGCAGCACGATCCAAGCGGGAACTGTGGGCAGAAACACCACCAAAAATGCCTTTAGCTACAAGAAATAAAAGGTGGCAGGAGGAGAGCGAGATGGAGGAGGAGGAGAACCTCAGAAGGGCAGAAGAGAAAGAGGGCAGGGAGAGGACGGGACGGAGAGAGGAAGCAGGAAGAGACCGCAGCTGCCTACCCACACGGGAGCAGGAGCGGAATCACGGCACCGTGACTTATAAGCCAACACTTTCCACACCGATGCACATTCAGACCCATGTGTTTAGGATGAAGCCTCTCAGAAGCAGAAACGATCATTTAGGGCCCCCCCCCGAAATACATCATTAGTAGTCCAGCCTAGGCAACCTAGTGAGGCCCACTGCCAGGAATTTAAGAAGGGCTGGAGCGGAGCTTAGTGGTAGACCACTTGCCGAACATGGGCAAGGCTCTGGGTTCTATCCCCAGCACTTTTCCTTTTTTTTTTTTTTTTTTTT